ACAGGTGATGATGTCACTATCACATGGACCCTGAGAGACAGACAGGTAATGATGACACATTTAACACACTGTTACTGTAACATAGTATGGTATTAGTACCGTTATGCTACACAGTGCTGTAGTTTCTCTCAGTCAGTCAGTAGATGATGACGATGACGACGATGATGATGATGATGATGATGCTCTGAGAGGTTAGTTTATATTCTGGAGCTCAGCTTCCTGTTTATCTCTGTGTTCATCAGCTGATTATCAGACATTAACTCGTCTCTATTCTTCATCACGTATTGATCCACAGTGAATGACATCATCATCACCATCATCATCCGAAATGTTTCACTGTATTTACCGTCCAACAGAGATCAGACTGATCAATACGATGTTCAATACTGTGTCCAGATGTTTCAGTAATCTGAGCTGAAACTGATGAGTCATCAATTCACAGAAAAATAAAGATATAAACGTCCAGTTGATTTGTGGTCTGTTGGTATTTCCTCTAATCAATAGAACTAGTTGGTATTGATGAAGAGGATGAAGAGGATCAGGTGATCGGAGGCCTACCTGCAGAGCCGCCGTTGATCCTCAACAACAAACATAAAAACATGAAGTCTGAACCACAAACTCCAGAAACAGTTGTAATCAGTCGACTCGTGTTGTAACTTGGACTCTCGTCTGTTTTCTTTCTGAAGAGCAAACAGCAGCAGGCAAGGGGGCGGGGCTTACAGTGGCGCTCCTCATTCATTGGTTACACCGTCAGTCAAGATTCACAGACAGAAATGAAAATATGAATTCTCTTAATTTTTAATTTGTCACCAAAACAGCTGATTTACTGATCCTGGCTGAAATATCAGCCAGGTGACGGGAGGGGGCGGGGCCTTCAGGGGCCCGAGACCTTCATGTTACCTTTGTGTTGTTTACTTCGTGGTAATTTGATTAGTCTCACATTAGTGAGGTGAGAAGCATCAATGGAGGTCAAAGAAGTGAGGTGCAGTAGTGGAGGCACCTAGATGGCTAAGCTAAGCTAGCTGTTTCCATAATGTATGCTACGCTAAGTTAACGGTTACCTTTCTGCTTCCAGTCTTGACGCTAGACTAAGCTAAGCTAACAGCTTCCAGTCTTTATGCTAAACTAAGCTAATGGTTTCCCTCTGTTTTGCAGTCTTGACGCTAAGCTAACAGTTTTCAGTGTTTATGCTAAGCTAAGCTAACTGGTTGCTGTACAGGCATGAATCTGAATGTCTGAGGATAAAATGTTGAACTGTTCCTTTAAGGATGAATGAATGACGGCGTGTTTCTTCAGTCAGCTGACCTTTAGTCCTCTGTGACAGGTGGGAGGGGCTTAAAGAGTGCGTGTGTGTGAGAGTATGTGTGTGTGTGAGAGTGTGTGTGTATGTGTGAAATCTAAATTTAAACCCCAGTTGCCCCCCACAGTTACAGCCACACACACTTATTATTCATAATAACAGATAAAGTCTTGTGTATTTCAGGAGTGACGCCTCCTCTGTTGTTGTTCAGTGTTTCTATTGAACTCTACTTCATCTATCAATAACACGTCTGTTCAAATCCAGTGAACTGCACCGCTGAATGTTAAATATAATATAAATAAAACTGACTTCAGTTCTTTATGTTTTTATGAATATTTCCAGGTTTTTATGTTGTCAAAATCGTCTCTCACCTTCAGCTGGATCAGGATCAGAGTCCGTCCATGTCCTCAGTCTCTCCTTAGGGGAATCATCCAAAAACCTGCAGGACTCTCCGGGTCCACCGAGGACTCTGAGGTCTGAGGTCCCACTCTGGGTTCTGGTCTTCGCTCCGCGGTGCGTTCACAGCTGACTGAGAGCTTCAGTCGTTTCTAAATAAATCTCCAACAACCAGCACCTGCTGCACGACAACTGTGTCGCACACACACACACACACACACACACACAGATATATATATATATATATATTATATATATATATATATACACACACACACACACACACACACACACACACACACACAGATATATATATACACACACACACACACACACACAGATATATATACACACACACACACACTTATATACACACACACACACACACATACACACACACACACACAGATATATATATATATACACACACACACACACACACACACACAGATATATATATATATATATACACACACACACACACACAGATATATATATATACACACACACACACACACACACACACAGATATATATATATATATATACACACACACACACACAGATATATATATATACACACACACACACACACAGATATATATACACACACACACTTATATACACACACACACACAGATATATATATATATACACACACACACACACACATATATATATACACGCTCACGCTCACACACACACACACTCACATATATATACACACACACAGCAGTTTATTTTTATTTCAGACCTCCAGGAAGTTGACACTTTATTTAAAACCTGCAGTTGAACAAAGTTTATTTTAGTTTTTTATAGTTAATACATAATTGACCCATACTTATTACACATTGAACTACTTGTACTTGTACCTTACGTGAGTATTTCCATCTTCTGCTTTAAAATACTTTAATATTTATCTGATAACTTTAGTTACTGTTTGACGTTAAAGGTCAGTAAATAAAAACGTCTTTGTTACAAAATAAACTAAATCAGCTTCAATAATAATAAAGTATAATAACAAATACAGAGAGAGACGAGAGAGAATGTTTGATATAAAATACATTTAATTTCTGATTAATTTTATCTGTAACTTTATTTAAAATAAAGTCAAAAAGCTTAAATTTGTAATAATTATGCATGAATCTGTGTGCCTCAGCTGTGCCTGAGCTGCAGTACCGTCGGAACGACAGCAGGAGGCGGCACTGACACACATTAAAAACATCTTTCACAGAAGAAAACCTCCTCAGCTCTCAAGTACATTCATGTTTTACTGAATTTTAAATAAAGTTTTTTTTGTGTGGCTCCAGCAGGTTTTAAGTTGTCGGCCCTTTAAGAGAGAAGTGGGGCCCCTCAACGCCTCGCTGAGCATCTCAGAGCCTTTGTTAGGGTTTAGAGTGTGTGTGTGTGTGTGGGGGGGGGGGTCAGGACCAAAACCAGGATCAGGAGGACTGAGACCCTCCACAGACCAGAGACCACACGACGACACACACAGAGAGAAGCCTCAACGGAGCGGTGAGTGAGTCTCTCTTCAGTGAAAGAGTTTTCATGTTTTATTGTGTCAAAGAAGAAGAATTATTGATGACATCATGCTAACTTATAGTTTGAACTTTCAATTAAACCAATAGTCAATAAAAAGCACTAATGTATCACAATGTATTGATTTCAAATTACTTCTTCATGTCACCATTTTAAACATATTTTACCACAACATTTATATTAGTTCTATTATAGTTCTGGTTTCTTTCTATTATATTTTATAGTTTACAGTCTTCTTCTTCTTCTCCTCTTTTGTTGGCGCCTCGCTGTTTCTTTCTGCGTCGTCGCCATCGAACAGAAAATGTGAAACTAAAAGCAGGAATGAAGTTTCTTCTGCTGCTTTCATTTGGAAACTACAGATTCTTCTTCTGATAGTCAACATGACATGTTTTTAGTGGGCGGAGCTTATGTGGAGGCAGAATAATTCTGTGAACACGTTAGCTAACACGGGCTAGCAAGTTTTGTCGGCTTGTTTAAAAAAAAAATGACGACAAATGAAACCATGTTAGCCGACACGCTGCTCACAGACTACTTTATAGGGAGGAGAGCAGACGGGAGCTAGCTTGTCATTCTCCAGAACTGGCTAGCTAGCTAGCTAGTCTCCGTAGCTCCCGCCTGTTTTCATCCTGCTGAAGTAGTTTCCTTGGGGCGAGATGTTGACCGTAAACCCAGCACCGCCGGGCTCATTTTCTGTGACCAGTGTAGCATGAACGCATGGTGGAATTAGCAAGATAGCTAACTAGCCAGCTGCTAAATGAGTAAAATGTAACAAATTAATGCTTCATCACACAAGGAAAGCACGGCGGTTAAATGACAAAATTTATTGGGATAATTTTCTGTGACCAGTGTAGCATTAATGCACGG